AATGCCTCTTCCATAAGTCGCTCCTGCAATGTGTCCAAAGGGACAACCGGGCAGAAGCCAGAAGCCAAGCTTCAATAGCCAGTCCACAACTGTTTAAACTAAGGCCTTCTGAACAAGAAGGACCTATGAGAGCTGGATTGTGATGATATGGAATGAAGTGGTGTGGGTGGGCAGGTCAAGTATACCTAGGTGTAAAATCCTTACTCAAATCTGCACTTTTCTGTTATTTTAGAGTGATGGGTGGGTGAAGTGGTCCACCTCCTGTCCTAGAGGAAGAGCAGAGACCAGCAAATCTGCATGTTTCCTCTGGGGATTTTAATGAAAAAACTCTTTTATATTATGCCCCCTTTGTATTGCAGGTCCCTCTTCCTCATCCATGCTGGCTGACCACCCCTGGAATTTATACTTCCTATGTTTTTACTACCTTCCAATAATTTCATCAAACTATTAACCCATTAATGGACTAATCCACTGATGAGGTCAGAGCCCTTGCGATTCCATCACTCCCCATGAGTCCCACCTCTGAACATTGCTGCATTGGGGACCAAGCCTTCAACACATGAGACTTTGTGGAACATTCCAGATCCAAACCATAGCATTCACAAAGTTAGAAGGTCTTTTTACATCCTTCCTTTTTTCCCACCCACAGAATGGATATAAATTCCTCTTTACAACACTTGCTTATCAGCTCAGAGACAGGCACCAGTGAGCCAATTTTCAGTCCATAAATTTACATTCCATGTTTTCCTCCTTTGAAGCCTGGGATTGTTTTCCTTTGTCTTGTTACTTCTCTAAAAGGTATTTTTCTTTGTGGAAATACTATTTAAGGCAGTCTTCTAAGCCACTACCTTGAGTGACTTTTCTCTCATACAATGTGCATTAATAAACTTGCCTGCTTTTATTTTATTAATCTGTCTTCTGTTTTGGGAGTCCATCACACAAACTTAAGAGAGTTGAAGAAAATTTTATTTTCTACTTTTTACTCTTCTAGATGACCAATATTTTTTCCTTAGGATTAAAAATAAGTCTCTCTTTACTACCAATTGCTGAAATTTCCTAAAATATGCACTTTTGTAGCTCAAGGAAGATACAACTAGTCAGATATATATGATATGAATAACAAGTTTCATTGATTGGCTTTTAAAAAGTTGCTGCTTTGTTTTGAAGGTCACTGAGAATATTATTCTGTGAAGGTTTTTTAAAGGTTGGGGTAGATATTTTACTTCAGATAGAATAATTTTTATTTTCTTCTCTCAGCAGCATTGGGATATGTAATCACATTTGTAACCCCAAAATGCCTCTATTGATAACTTGGGCATAGCTATAAAACATTCCTCCATCTTCCACCTGTCTTTAGTTTTATTTTTGTCCTCCAATTATATTCCTTTCCTCATTTCCAGAAGTCCTAATTGGAAACAGCTTCCCCCTGCCTTGGCTAAAAGGCAAAATGTCTCCCTACCTCCCAGCATATGGTGACATCCCTTACTGAAAGAAATGGTTTTCACTCTAGCTCTTATCTTTTTTTTTGTTTTGTTTTGTTTTTTTTAGTAATAGTAAGATGAAATTATATCATTCTTGTAAGAAGAAATTAATATCAGTTCTTTCATTATCATGCACTTTGCTGCTTGCTCTTTTTCTTGCTCACTCCTCTCCTATCATAATCCTTACCTCTGTCACATGTTTCCTTCCCCTTTTTGTTTCAGTCTATGTAGAAAATTCGAAGACAAAGCTGGACTCAGTGGTGCACGCCTGTAAGCCCAGTGACTCAGGAGCAGGAAGATCCTGGTTCAAAGCCAGTCACAGAAACTTAATAAGACCTTGTCTCAAAATATATATATAAAAAAGGGTGGTGATGTGGCTCAGTGATTAAGTGCCCCTGGGTTCAATCCCCAGTACAAAAAAAGAGGTGAAAACAAAAATTTGGCTTGTCTTCAAAAGGCTTACAACCTCTAAGGGTGCAAAACATACGCAAGACAATTCTACTAAAAAGGAATATAAACTGGGTGTGGTGGTGCACACCTGTAATTCCAGTTAATCTGGAGATTGAAGCAGGAGGATGACTGGCTCAGCTTGGTGAGACCTTGTCTCCAAAAAATAAAAAGGGGGCTGAGAATGTCCAGCACTTGCTCAGGATGCATGAGGATCTGGGTTCAATCCCCAGTACTGAAAAAATAAACAAAGGAATGTTTCATTAGACTGGTTGACAGCACTCTGATCTTCATTATTGTGGCATTTCTCACGTTGCTTTGAAATTATTTGCCCATTTGGCTACCTCTTTTATTAAAGCATGAACTGAGGACAAGGAACATGTCTTATTCCTCTTTGTAACCTCTGGACATCATCTAGTGGGTCACTTATAGAAGGGCCCAATAACTTTATGGAATACATGAAAGGAATGAATAAATAAAGAAAATGACTAAACAACATGAAGGTGGGGATCATGCCTGGCTGGAGTGAGTGAACAAGATGCAGTAATTTATGTTGGACATTAAGATGAGAGTTTAACAGAAGAAATGTGGGCAGGAAGAGGTAGGAAACAGGGAAAAGAAAGAGTTGGAAGAGCTCTGAAGTCTGGTTTTACTATAAGTTCCTGTTGAATGTAGAAATTTTGTGTATAATAATGCTGATGGATAGTTACATACCTCATTGCTATCATTTGAATCATTTTTTTTTTTTTTTTTTGGTACCAGGACTGAACCCAGGTGTGCTTAACCAGAGACACATTTCCAATGCTTTTTCTTTTTTATTTTGAGTCAGGGTCTTGCTAAGATACCTAGGACCTTGCTAAGTTGCTGAGGCTGGCTTTGAACTTGGGATCCTCCTGGCTCAGCCTCCCAAGCTGTTGGGATTACAGGTGTACATCACCATGTTTGGATCTTAAATGTCTTCCCAAAGTCCATGTGCTGGAGACTCAGTACCCAGCCTTTGCTGCTAGTAGGAGATAGTAGAAACTTTAAGAAGCAGGATGTAGTGGGAAATGTTGGGATCATGTCCTCAAAGAGGACATGCCCTTGAAGGGGACTGTGGGAACCCAGTCTCATCCTTTCTTGCTGTAAGTCCTAGACATGAGATGTGTGACTTTCTTCTATCACATATAGTCCACCATGATGTGCTGCCTTGTCATAGGCCCCAAGACAATGAGACAAACTAACTATGGACTGAAACCTCTAAAACTGTGAGCCAAAAAATACTTTCTTCATAAGTTTATCATCTCAGGTGTCTTGTTAGAACAACGGGAGGTTGATTAACACACTCATAAAGTACCCTATTATGTTTCTTAGCTACTCTGCTTTAGTTTGGACAATCTTCCCTAGCATTAGTTTTGATTTCTCTGAAAATGAATTTACCTCAAAATATCTACTAAAGATTCCTTACATGAAATCATTTTGATTTTTAGGAAGTTGATTTTTTTCTATGACAAGTACTTTTTCTAGCATTTGATGCTTAGCAAAAATTGAATACCCAGATTTTAGTATAAATCATAGAAGTAAATTTGTATTTTTAAATTGTGGTAAGATACACATAAGTTTTCACCATCTTATCCATTCCTGGGCCTGGCAGAATGGCTCCCACAAAGAAGGGTAATGAGAAGGGCCTTTTTGCCATCAATGAGGCAGTGACCTGAGAATATACCATCAATATTCACAAGTGCATTCATGGAATAGACTCAAAATTGTGCCTCTTGGGCACTCACAGATCTGAAAATGTGTTATGAAGAAGATGGAGACTCCAGATATGTGCTTTGATATCAAGCTCAACAAAGCTGTCCAAGCCAAAGGAATAGGGAATGTCCCATACCGTATTCATATGCAGTTATCTATAGAAGTAATGAGGATGAAGGTTCACCACACAAGTTCTATATACTCTTGTAACTTATGTCTCTGCTAACATTTTCAAAAATCTGCATATAGTTAATGTGAGTGAGAACTAACCACTTACTGGCAAATAAATTTATAAAACTGCCCCCAAATAAAATGAAATGCACCATCTTAACCATTTTGAAGTGCACATTTCAGGGGCATTGGGTACACTCACTGTTGTTATGAACATTACCACCTACCTATCTACAGGATTGTTTTTACAGTTAAGATGTGTGTGTGTGTGTGTGTGTGTGGTGCTGGGGACTAAACTTAGGGCCTTGTGCATGCAAGCAGGCACTCTACCAATTGAGCTATATCCCCAGCCCCTACAGTTTTTTAAAATGTAAAAACAAAATATTATTATACACCAAAAAGGCCAGATACATTTTTAAGAAAGTCATTTACATTTTAAATATGACAAAATTCATTGGAACTTTAAATTAGTTTATTAACTCAACTTTTGTGCCAAGGGGCACAAGTTTTAGGCTTGCTATTTAATAGTGACTGCCAAACAGGGGCCTTGGAAGTCAAAATCTAATATCATTTTGAAACCTTACACATTTTGCTCTTAAAGAGAAATAATTCAAAGTACTGAGTATTACAAACTCAGGAAAGAGATTTCTGATGGTACAAAAAACAGACTTTCCTTTCACTTGTTCAGTTCTATTGAAGCAAAACAAGTAGCAAGGGATCAAACCCAACCTCCTCCTCATGTTGGTGCTGAAGTCTTCCTACCTGTGGGAGAACCCCTTCCTAGAAGTGATGGTTTGGGTTCAGAAGGTGGTTTTATTTAGTGGGGCAAGGTAAAAAAACAGCAATAGGATTTACCCAATTTTCTGCTAGCTCTTGGCTAACTGAAAAGGAACACAAGGCTGGAATCAGAACCAGGGTTTCAGGATCCAAGTCAAGTTATCCTTATAAGAGAAATATTCCTCTAGAATATACATCTGTATCCGGTGGAATGGTCTCTTCAGTTTCTCTTTTTTTGTGTGCTGGGGATTGAACCCAGGGGCACTTAGCCACTACTGAGCCACATCCCGCCCTGATATTTTATTTTGAGACAGAGTCTTGTTAAGTTGTTTGGGGCCTTGCTAAGTTTCTGAGACTGGCTTGAATTTGTAATCTTCCTGAGCCGCTGGGATTACAGGCATGTGCCACTGCACCCAGCCTCAGTTCAGATTCTTAATCTGTACATTTCTTTTTCTCAAATGTTGCCCCTTGAAGCTGATTTGATTATGCAATGAATGGTTTTGAAGCTATTTCTGGAGCAGGTGTTGAAGCTTGGGAAAGAGTTTCAATGCATTCTGTGTTGTTACTTCTACCACTTCTTCCACTGAGATTCCCTTCACTTGGGCAATATATTCAGCTGAAATAGAAACGTTGCAGGGCTCATTCCGTACCTGAAACAAACAAACAAACAAACAAAAAAAAAACAGGTACTAATTCAAACATGACATTCAAGGGAAGCAGGTCCTTGGAGACTGTAGATAAAACAGAAAAAAATGAGTTGGTGAAAAACAACTGATAAGCTCTTCAACAGATAAATGGATAAAGAAAATGTGATATATATTCACAATGGAAAATTACCCAGCCATTTGCTGGTAATTGGATGGAACTGGAGACTATCATGCTAAGTGAAATAAGTCAATCCCCCCAAAGCAAAGGTTGAATGTTCCCCTTATATGCTGATACTAACACACAAAAAGGAGTAGGGGAGGGAAGAATAGAAACTCAGTAGATTAGACTAAGGGGAATGAAGGGAAGAGATGGGGGGATGGGAATAGGAAAGACAGTACAATGAATCCAACATAACTTTCCTATGTTCATATATGAATACACGACCAGTGTAACTCCATATTGTGTACAACCACAAGAATGGGATCCTAATTAGAATAAGTTCTAATCCTTGTATAACATCTAAATATACTCTGTCACATATACCTAAAAGAACTGATAAAATCTTTTTTTCTGATAAGATTGTCTTGTTTTTTCTTTTAAATTAATTTACTTTTAAAAATTGGAGTGTTTTTTCTTAATAAGTTGATGAAGGCAGGAGAAAAGGTACCTCTGCAATATTATTCTAAGTCTATGCTCCTGCCTTGGGGTATTAACAAATGAAGTCCCAGTTCCTAGCATATGAAGCAATATGTAGTAGTGAACACTTGGAGACTAACTTGTCTGATGGATCAACTGTTCTTTAGTTTGTTGTGTAAATGTGCTCCAAAAGGTCACCACGCTATTGCTTGGCCTCTTACCTCACAGGTTATATGACAGTTTGACTAAAAGAAAAACACCATCTATCTGGAAAGACCAGATAGCCTATATAATGGAATTTCACTGATTCCAAGATGCATTTCTCCCCACCCCATCTTAACATCTATGAAATGGATATATATATTTTACTGACACTCAGGGGCATGTCTTAGTACAACATGCAGTGTTTTTTCTTTCTTAATATATTGTACCTACAATCAGTAGCATTTAGATTTGATGAAATAAATAATTACTGTTATTATTAATAAGCATTTACTCATGGTGATAATATTCAGAGGAATAATATTAATTGTTAACGTTAAAAAACCTTAGTAATTAATGTAGCCTAACAACACAATAAAAAATGTGCACAAAAATTTATGTTCAAGTATGTTCATCACATTGTTTATAATACAATCTAAATGGCCAATATTTATTATTTATTTATTTATTTAGAACCAGAAATTGAACTCAGGGGCACTTGACCACTGAGCCACATCCCCATCCTTATTTTGTATTTTATTTGGAGACAGGGTCTCACTGAGTGGCTTAACACCTAGCTTTTGCTGAGTCTAGCTTTGAACTCACAATCCTCCTGCCTCTGCCTCCCAAGCCACTGGGATTATAGGCGTGTACCATTGCACCCAGCCAATATTTACTTTTTTTTTTTTTTTGAGAGAGACAGAGAGAAAA